ACAAGTAAGTCGAAAGTTATAGTGAACAGTTGAAATTGTGCACAAGAAAAAATTACAAAAAATTGAAAAACTAATGACCAAAGTACTAAAATTATTTTTAATTATTATCATATTTTTCACAAAATCGTAACTGAAAGAAAAATGACACTTTTATGAAACAAGTTTATTACATATTATTTATAAAAATACAATTATTTAATAATTTGTTATTTCGTTATTATTTGTGTTATTAAAATGTTATTTGTAACAATAGGTTTGATGTGTAAAACAGTGCTGCATTTGTCACATTTTTTGTGTTAATAAGAGCAATCACAAATACAGTCAAAAGTGTCTATTTGTCGTAATTATAATTGTCGAAATTGCTTAATTGTAACACAACTGGCCAATCATTTTGGTGTACGACAATTAAATATTTTGTTCTTGAATCTGTAACTTTTGTTGAATTAAAAACCATTTTTTTAAAAAAAATAGATTTCTATACTAAAAAATTTTTTATAAAATTCACTCATTTACGACAAATAGATACTTTTTCTGTTGGATTCACGACAAATAGACACCTTTGAATGTACAATTAGATTATTTATTTTTTTAAATAAAACAGTTTAACTCAAATAATATAAGTTAATGGTTTAAAAATCAATTATAATAGTAAACAGTAAATTAAACTAAAAAAAATAATGGTTAAATAAAATAATAATTAAATACTCTTTAACCTTACGATACTGTTACTGTTTTAAATAAAACACCAATTTTATATTTTTTGAACTTGATTTGATATACAAAAAATACCTTGTGGCGACTCTTTTGAAATGTAAACAGTAAACAAACCAATCGCGCAAAAAATAATTTATAGGTTTTCCTTTTTTCTTTTATTTTTGGAAATGTTTTAATTAAAACACTAACAGTATTGGCGTTTTCATCAACAAAACATTTTTTTCCAAAAAAACGTTTTATAAAAGAAAAAATAGAATTGTAAGGTTAAAGGAAACATAGAAGAACTCAATTTAAAGAAGTGATGGGAATTTTGAATATCAACTCAACTGCAAATGAGACTCAAATAGTAACTTACTTTTTACAGTCAAAGGCGTTTATTTGTCATTATTAAAATTGTCGAATTTGCTTATTTGTCGCTCAACTAAACAATTATGTTGGTGTAAGACAATTAAACATATCTTTTCTGAATCTGTAACTCTTGTTGAATTTTAAACTTTTTTAATAAAATATATTAAATATTAAAAGTTCTTTCACAAAATTCGCTTGTATCAAT